TTTTTTTTCTTTTTTCTTTTTTTCTTTTTTCTTTCTCCTTCTCCTTCCCCTTTCCCTTTCTTTTTCTCCTTCCCCTTTCTCTTCTCTTTCCCCTCGGAACCCAGCAGGCCTGGGTTCCTTCGAACCCACCCAGGCGCTGGGTTTGCCTGGGTTCGTCGAACCCAGGGCTGGGTGCCACGAACCCAGGTGATCTGGGTTCAGCCTAGGTTCGACGGACCCAGATCGCCTAGGTTCGACGAACCCATGCGTTGGGTTCAACGAACCCAGCTAGGTTCGAAGGAACCCGTCGCCTGGGTTCGACAATCCCAAGCGTGCTGGGTTCGGTGCGAACCCAGGCAAGCGTGCTGGGTTCAATGCGAACCCAGGCAAGCGTGCTGGGTTCGGTGCAAACGCAGGCAAGCGTGCTGGGTTCTTCGATCTGTTGGGTTCTCGATTTGCCAGGTTTGATTTTTTTTTTTTTTAAATATTCATGTTTAAAAACTTGAATTTTAAGGATACTTTTGGGTTGCAACTGATTGATTATTTTGCTAGTGAATATTTTGTTTGTGTGGGCTGTTCTCATTGAGAATTTGGCGAAAATTGGTTGAGGGAAAATATTTACCCATATGGTTGCTTATGATTATCGAACCCAGCAGATCACTGGGTTCGATCAAGAACCCAGCCATCTGTTGGGTTCGATAGAACCTAGCGAGGGTTCGATCAAGAACCCAGCCATCTGCTGGGTTCTCAAGAACCCAGCGAGGGTTTGATTTCTTTTTTTTTTTTTTTGAATATTTATGTTTAGAAGCTTGAATTTTGGAAAAATATATCATGATATTTCTGAGTTTTTTTGGGGAGGTTGAAAGAAAGAATTTAGGGTGGTGATGAGATTCTGGGTTTGTATTGTTTTTTGATTTAATGTTAGAAGGTGTTAGGGTTTGCAGAAGGCAGGAAGAAGATGAAAGGAAGAAAAAATGAAAAAAAGGAAAAAGGAAATATTTTAAGGTTTTTTTTTGCCATCTCATTGTTTTTTTTGCCATATCATTTCTTTTTTGCCATGCTGCCATCTTTTTCCGTTAGGTAATGGGACACGTCAGTCAATTTTTAACGGGGGGTAAAAATGGTAAACAGTAGGGACCAAATCAGGGATTTATTTAGTTCAGGGACCAAATTAAGGGTCCGTACAATAGTTGAGGGACCAAAATGGGGTTTTAACCTATAATCTAAGATTAAGGAGCCAATCCAAAAAATAAAACTGCCCTGCTTGCCCTCGAATTGTCGGCCATTGAAAACTTTTAACTTGAATCTAGTCAAATATTCTTTCAATGTCGACTACACCATTGTTAAACAATTTTTCATTTCTAGTAAGTCAAATTTTCCATGCTAATGCAAACTATAACACCTCCCACCCCATTTTCATACTTGATGAAACTGATAGTCCTTCATGATGAATAAAAGCATCCCAACAGTCCCCAGCAGTAACAGTTTGTATTTCCCACCATTTGTAGCACTTGGACCAGATTTGGGTGGTTACCTTGCATGTGAGAAACAGATTAGTGCTGTCTTCTAGATGTTCAGCACAAAGACAACAAATAAGCTTACTTGCATCTTTAATGATTCCTCTCTTGAATAAATTTGTTTTGGTTGGTAATTTATCAAGGATTAGTTGCCTATTGAATGCACACACCTTAGTTGGTACGTATGGGTTCCAAACTTTTTCAAAGACATGATTAGATGGCACATCTTGCCTTGATACCAACAAGGAATACCTTGATTTGGTTGAATAAACGCCTTCCTTGCCATGTTTCCAGGTCCATATATCTTCCTTCC